AAGCTTACTGACGAGATTAAGTTTCTAAACCCAAATGGTAAGAGAAGGGATAACAGTTGGGTACAAGTCAACACTCTATGTTGTTATTTGCCATTGAGTTGGACCTGACTCACAGCTACCCCTCCTTGGGTTTCTGAGGCAGTATCACTACACAAGTAGATTGGCAATCTTCCTTCTGAGTGAACACTCTATACCCCAGAATTTCCTGAAACTGAACTTTTAAGAACAGACACCAAATTATTAAATGGTTCCCAACTAAATGTTAGTAGAGTCCACACCAATTTTACTTGGCTCTAGTTGCCATAGGGACATTGAGTTTTTTTTTTTTGCAATAGTTTGGCATTGATTTTAAAAAACCAAATAAACAAACTCACTGTCATCAAGTAATTTCTGACTCATAGTGACTCCCATTGGGTTTCCAAGGCTGTAAATCTTTATGGAAGTAGATGACCCAGTCTCCCTTCTGCAGAGCAGCTGGCATTGATAGCTTAGTCCATCTTCCTTTTCTATTTTCCTATCTCCCAAAACCAAAAAAACCCAAACTTACTGCTTTCAAGTCAGATCTGACTCACAGAGACCCCCTCCTTGGGTTTCTGAGGCAGCATCACTACAGTAGTAGATCGCCCAACCTTGTTTTTGAGGAGTGGCTAGCTGGTGAGTTTGAACTGCCAGCCTTCATCTATTCTGGTTAATTAGTTAGTTCTAGTTCCTGCTTTCCAAAGAAAGGTGATCCCACAGAATGTAGAAATTATAGAACAATATCATTAATATCACATGCAAGTAAGATCTTACTGAAGATAATTCAGAAACGTTTGCAGCAGTCTATTGACAGAGAACTTCCAGAGGTTCAAGCCGGATTCAGAAGAGGACGTGGAACAAAGGATATCATAGCTGTTGTCAGATGGATCTTGGCTCAAGGCAGGGAATACCAGAAAGATGTTTACTTGTGTTTTATTGACTATGCAAAGGCATTTGATTGTGTGGATCATGACAAATTATGGAAAACATTGAGAAGAATGGGAATCCCTGAGCACTTGATTGTACTCATGAGGAATCTGTACCTTGACCAGGAGGCTGTCGTTCGAACAGAACAAGGAGACACTACATGGTTTAAAATCAAGAAGGGTGTGCGTCAGGGTTGTATTCTGTCTCCACACTTATTCAATCTATATGCTGAGCAAATAATCCGAGAAGCTGGACTATATGAAGAAAAACGTGGTATCAGGATTGGAGGAAGAATCATTAACAACCTGAGATATGCAGATGATACAACTTTGCTTGCTGAAAGTGAGGATGACTTAAGGCACCTACTGATGAAGGTTGAAGAATACAGTCTGCAGTATGGATTACATCTCAACATAAAGAAAACAAAAATCCTCACAACTGGACCAATGAGCAGCATCACAATAAATGCGGAGAAGATTGAGGTTGTCAAGGAATTCACGTTGCTTGATTCTACAATCGTTTCCAACGGAAGCAGCAGTCAAGACATTAGACGACGTGTAGCATTGGGAAAGTCAACTGCGAAGGAACTGTTTCAAGTGCTGAGGAGCAAGGATATCTCATTGAGGACTAAGGTGCGCCTGACACAAGCCATGATATTTCCAATCGCCTGGTATGCATGTGAGAGCTGGACAATGAATAAGGAACACCGAAGAAGAGTTGATGCTTTTGAGTTGTGGTGCTGGCGGAGAATGCTGAAAACACCATGGACTGCTAAAAGAACTAACAGATCTGTCCTGGAGGAAGTGCAGCCAGAATGCTCCTTGGAAGCAAGAATGGCCAGACTTCGTCTCACCTATTTTGGTCATGTTGTAAGAAGGGACCATTCCCTGGAGAAGGATGTCATGCTTGGTAGGGTGGAGGGTCGACGAAAGAGGGGGAGGCCTTCAACGAGATGGATTGATACAGTGGCTGCGATGACGGGCTCAAGTATAGCAGGGATTGTGGGGCTGGCGCGGGATCAGGCAGTGTTTCGTTCTGCTGTGCATGGGGTCGCTATGAGTCGGAAACGACTCGACGGCACTTAACAACAACAACAACAAGTTCCTGCTTCTCCAAACATGTCTCCCACATTCTTATCTCTGTGCTCTGTATGGCTTAAGGTGTTTTGCCCTGTATGAACAACCTTTAACCTCTTTTTTCTTCTTACCAAATTCTGTCAATACTGATTAGCTCAGGGACTGCCTCCTTGTATTATGAGACTTTTCAAGTGCATGTATTTTCTTTATTACTTTATTTAAAAAATCCACACAGGTATATGTGTTATGGTTAGAAGACCTGGATTTGAGTTCTAAACTTAGCTTTGTAATCATGGGCAAGTCACTTGGCTCAATCATTCATCAAAATTTTTTTTTTAACTTTTTACTGCGATTTGGGTGAAAGTTTACAGAGTATATTCTTTTTCCATTCAACAGTTCATACACATTTGTTTTGTGACACTGACTGCAATCCTTGCAATGTAATAGCTCTCTTCTCACTTCCTTCCTGTGGTTACCTTTGCCTTGTGTCATCCTTCTTTTCCATCCATTTCTGCCTTCTGAGCTTTATCCCTATGCAAATGTTGCCCTTTTGGTCTCTTATAGTTGATTGTTCTGAAGAGTGTGTACCTTCCTGGTGTAATTGTTCACCTCGTACGCCTGTCTACTGTTTGGCCAAAAGTTGAGTCACAGGAGGAAGTTCAATTCCAGGCCTCAAAGGTGACTAAGGGTCATAGTCTCGGGGGTTTCACCAGCTCTATCAGAACAGTAAACCTGGTCTTTTTATGTTTTTGCGTTTTCTTCCATATTTTCCCCCCACTTTATCTAGGATCTCCAAATTTGATCCCTTTCAAAGTGGTTAGCACTGGGTATGGGGCACCATCTAATTCTTCTGATCATGGGGTTGTGCCAGCTGAGGTTCCTACCATCCACCAGTCCCTTGGACCAATTGTTTTCAAGTGTCTTCGATTTTCTTTACTCTTCTGTGCTCCAAATGAGGAAAGACTAATTATTACATCTTAGATGGCCACTTGCAAGCTTTTAAGACCCTTGTTGCTATCCACTGAAGTAGAATGTAGAACAGTGCTTTTGTGTACTATGCTATGCCAATTGAGCTTGATGTCCCCTGGGACTATGGTCTTGAGCTCACAGGCCCAGTGACTCCCTCAAGATGTTTGGTTGTCGCTAAGAAGTTATCACATCTTTGCCCCCTGTTAACTCTACTGTATGTATGGACACTTTTATAGCACATATGAATACATACATAGAGAAATCATCTGCCAAACCTATATATGGTCATGGGTACAGTGCTGTTTGCCTACCCATACCTGATCGTCTTGCCTGTCTACCTGTGTACGTATCCATGTTTGCTGTTACTGACAATTCAGTATTGTACATGTAACAGGGTTTAACTTTGTAGTCTGTACCTCTTGTGCACCTCTTTGTGTGTTTCTTTTCCTTAGTGATAGTATGCTGGTCACCTGCTTTTGGTATACTGCCTTATCCTTCACCCAAATCAATATGTGTCTCTTATCTAGCTAGCCATTTTACCTGTCCCGCACCCCCCCATTCCCCCGGAACCATCAAAGAATGTTTCCTTTGTGTGTAAACCCTTCCCTGACTTTTTATAATAGTAGACTCATACAATACTTGTATTCATAAAATTTTTAATGAGCATCACTATAGTGCTGGATGCTAGAGCTACAAAGATGAATGAGACATGGTTTCTGATTTCAAGGAACTCACAATTTAAAAGCTATTAAGTAGTTTTTTATTGTTTTTTAAAGTATATAAACATCAGAGTATGAGTGAGAGACTTAAAGGAGGTAGGGAAATAAAAGTATTTTAAAAATGAGAATATAAATATAAGGTATTTAAAAATTAAAAAAATACTACTTTTTTATTTTTGTAAAACCTTTAAAAATAGCTCACATTTGGAATGTTAATTTAATGTTTAGAATCAAAGCAATGCTGAGATTCTGGTATTTTGCCAAACTTGGAAAGACCATACTTAGTTAAGCTGTAGTGTCTGCAGACTTTCTTAAAAGGTAGCTGTTCCCTGAACAGTTCATTGAAGTAATAGACAAAAGTGTGTTAGCAGTTTTCTTCTGTAACAGGGTATAATTTCCTAGCATTTCTCTTTCAAAGGATTGTATGGGCAGGTGCTCTCATTATGTTTACAGATGACCACATTACAGGATCCAAAGCAGACTGTTTAAACTCATAAAACGTTCACTTTATAAACTCTAAGCAAAATTTTTAGTTTTGGTAATCCCAAGAGCCTATAAAGTCACACGACTATAGATTAAAAGGTTCTACTAATTACAGTTCTTACCCAAACTTATCATCTACACTTAGATCACATTGCAGCTATGAAATGGTAATGTTGACGTCTTAAAAAAGCTTTTCACAGATACGTTTTACTGAAATTGTTGGTTAAATGAATCTGATTACCACCTTCTCAAAATTTTTCTAAATCCCTTAAAATCCACAATATAGTAATTAATTTTAATACAATGCATTTTACATATTTTTTTTTAAGGATTTTTCATTTGCATGGTATATAAAAGTAGTATTTATCTTTCTGTAAAACATCTCTTTCACAAAGCACAAAATGCATATTAGTAAGAAATGTAAAGAATACCCTTTATTTTTATGTTCCTTTGATAAATATAAAAAGCCCTGCTAGTGCAGTGATTAAGAGCTTTGGTTGCTAACCTAAAGGTCAGAGGTTAAAATCCACCACCAGTTGCTCTGTGGGAGAAAGATATGGCCATTTGCTTCTATAAAGATTACAACCTTTTGGGCAGTTCTACTTTGTCCTTTATGGTCGTTATGAGCAGGGATCAACTTGATGTCAATGGGTTTTTAATGGGTTTAGACAAATAAGCTAATGACAAATTAAAATTTCTTCTTATAATAAAGAACAACCCTAAAAAAAGTTTAATTAAATAGGAAAAAAGCAAAAAGAACAGCATAATATTTAGCAACTTCTACTAGGAAAAAAAAATTGTTACTTACGGCAGTAGCTCGAGACAGTTCTCGACATGTACTAAGCAGGCCATTTTGTAAATCATCCCTCTGTAACACCACAGTCTGAATGGCTGTTGGGTTATCTGCATTCATTTCTATCTCTTGGCTCGCTGACAGCAAAGCTTGTTCAAGCGTGTACTATTATAATAAGAAGAATTACACTTAATGTTCTGCATCATTGAATTAATTCTTTTTGTATTAGTTATTCGTGTCCTGATAATAATCATATAGAATAACATCAATTGTAGATAATAAACGTAACTGTCCTACTTTCTCCTTGTGGAGCTGCTGAAGTTTCTCTTCCAGAGCATGTACCACTTTATCTTGTTCACATAATCTGCTTAACTTGGCCTGGGTTACAAAATAAGATGTCTTTTGTTAGCAATTTTTTCTTTTCTCTGTAATTGGAGGTATGTAGTCACTACATAACAAGAAAACACATTAAAATACAATTTAAAAAGATAAAATGCTTCAAACATAGGCATGTGGGGTAAAGTAAAAAAGTATTTCAAATATATTATTAAACTTTCTAATATAAAATATTCTTAGTAATGAGATACTTCCATATTAATTCTCTCATTATTTTAATATGGTTAAGATTCTTCCTTATGATCTGTCACTAAGTATTATATGTAGTCCTTAATGTAAAATACCAACTAAGGTCTGTTACATATTGTTAAATTATGTTCTTGTTAAAAATGTAAACAGAAGACTGCTTCTAATTGCAATAATGCAAATAAAAACATTGCTAATGAAGAGTCACTTTCAGTGTCTCAATGCATTAAACTCTTAGTAATACTCTAATTTTAAAATTTGGAAATATGAGAAGTTACTCTAATAAAATTTCAAGATTACAAATAACTAGTTCTTCTTTCTCATTAATTTTCACATTAAAATGGGAATTCAACCTTAGGAAAGCCAATTTTTTTGCCCCTTAAATTTTATTTATTCTGTTATTATTGAGAATATACACAGCAAAACATAACACTAACTCAACAGCTTCTATATGTACAATTTAGTGACACTGATTACATTCTTTGAGTTGTGCAACCATCCTCACCCTCCTTTTGGGAGTAGTTCCTCCTTCAATTACATAAACTCACTGCCCCCTAAAGTTCCCATCTAATTTGTCAAGTCGCTATTATCAATTTGATCCTATATAGATAGTTCTTAAAAGGAACTCTGGTGGTGTATTGGTTAAGGCTGCTAACTGGAAGGTCAGTGGTTCAAACCTACCAGTCACTCTGTGGAAGAAAGATGATGTATCTGCTTCCATAGAAATTTCTGCCTTGGAAACTTAATGGGGGTGGGGGTGGGGTAGTGTCACCATGTGTTGGAATCAACTCAATAGCAGTGAGTTTGATTGTGGTGAGATAGTTCTTAAAAGACTGCACTGATCAAGGCAGGCCCTTTTTTTTTTTAAAAAAAAAAAAACTAAGTAAGCTAAATTCTTGTGCAGTTTAAGGTTTAAAGATTATCTCAGGGCAATCATTTCATCCACTCTCCACAGCTTTAGAAAAGTCTAGAGTTGGGAAAGCTAATTAAAAAAAAAAGTTTAGATGCTTTATAATATAAATATAATGGTGTAAAATAAAAACCTGAACAAATTTAAAGTATGTGCCAAACTTCTCACTTTACAGCATAATGACATGGAAGCGAGAAATCTGAGACTTCACACCTTCTTTGCCATTTATCTATTAAGCTAACTGCCTGCTAGATAACAAAATTCAAGCTTTCTCTAAAACAAGATGTTAAATAATAAGTAAGGAGGTACAACTCAATGGAATAAATGCAGGAGAAATGAGGGAAAAATGAATATAAATAAAGAAGAATGCATAGCAGATCAGTGATTTAAAATATGATTAAAGAAAGGACTAAATTTAATTCAAAAGGGAAGCAGTGATAAAATTTCTAGAGACTGATACTTTCTCTAGAAAACACAGATAATAATTTTTCTTTGTCCTCAGCTGGTATGGATTGAACTGTTCATCCCAAAATATGTGTCAATTTGGCGAGGCCATGATTTTTAGTGTTCAGTAATTATCCTCCATTTTGTGATCTGAAGTAATTATACCATGTGTTGTAAATCCTAACTTTTGTGCTATTAATGAGGCAGTACTAGCAGCGGCAGTTATGCTGATGAGCCAGAACATAATCTACAGGATTAGACTGTATCTTCAGTCAATCTCTTTTGAGATATAAAAGAGCTGAAGCAAGTGGGCTGAGATTAGAGGGACCTGCTACACCACCAAAAAAGATAAGCAAGGATCAGAGGGTGTTCTTTGGACCCAGGGTCCCTGTGCTGGGAACCTTCTAGACCCACGGGAAGAATGATGACAAAGACTTTCCCTCAGAGCCAACACAGAGAGAAAGCTTTCCCTTAGAGCTGTCACTCTGAATTCGGACTTCAGAGAATAAATTTGTTTGTTAAAGTCATGCCCTTGTGGTATATCTGATACAGCAGCACTAGATGACTAAGCACCAGATAGCAATATTTCACCAGAAAGAGGCTTTCACTTTCACTGTTACTAACTGCAGTAGGATCAGTCCCCTGACTCATGGTGACTCTCTGCACAGTGGAACAATATGCTGCCCTGTCTTATGCAATACCCGTGATCAGCCAGGGATCAGATCGCTGTGATCCATAGGGTGGGTTTTCACTGGCTGCTTTTCAGGAGTATATTGTTAGGCCTTTCTCCCTAGTCCGTCTTAGACTGGAAATTTCAATGAAATCTGTTTAGTATCACAGCAACACACAAATCTCCAATGACAGACTGGGAGTGTCTTAGCGTAAAGTACTTTGTCTAGGAGTCAAACTTAAGACTCCTGCGGGGAAAGTGAGAATACTACCATTGAATGTCCTTAATATGTTTAACTATTAATGATGGTGGGGGATGTGGTGGAAGTGGTAGGGATTTAATCTAAGAAATATGAGAAAAAAAATGCTAATTTATTTGATGTCATTTTGGAGGGCAGGGGAGGAAGAACTTTTTGTCATGTTTATTTCCAATGCCTCGGTAGAGAATATGACAGAACACTGACAATACATATGTTAATATATACACCCCAATACTTACATCAATATCCACTTCTTCAGGTCTGTATTTGTATAATGTACCTCTACATTCTTCTTGTGACAGCTAAGAAAAGATGTCATATCGTAACTTTAAACTTTCAGAAGCTTAATTTGAACACAGATCATTAAAAAAGTAGAAAAACAACAGTGATACAATATGCAAGATACATAAGAATGATGTTAACTTAAGCTTGTGAAATAAAATAATAAAGTGGTCAAACAAAAGTATAGGGAACCTTACATTTTTAATTTTTAAGACACATATATTATTTTAATGAAAACTGACAAATACAATCATAGAAACTAGAATAAAATATTCAAACCACACATATTTCAACAGTTAAAACCATCCTTTAGGGTATACATATAATCACTGACTGTGTCTGTGTACACTCAAATGCCAACACATCTCAGTACAATTTTATTAACAAAACCTATAACATATTATATACATATACAAAATATATAAACACACATACACAATATAAACTTATCTTGTTCTTCTGTCTTAAGAACTAAAAAACAATGGAGGAAAAGGATGGGTTTAATTTAAAAGACGAAAATTATTCAAAACCTTATAAAACTGAAAGCCTACATTACAAACTATGTATAATCAAACTGCATGAAACATTTGTATGTGCTGGCTGGCACTATTTCTTTTAAGGAACTGGTATTTAGTGTATTTAAGCATCCCTTCTTCAGCTTCTTCCAAATGTCTTTTGTTCAAATAAATCCTCATTTCTGATTGTGCTTACCAAGATGTCAATAGCCATCCAAGTCAGTTATACGAAAAATCACATCATAGCCTCTGCAGGCAATATTTCACTCTTGTCTTTTTACTTTACATTGACTTCTAGACAGTAACAAAAACATAGTAGGAAAATTTAATTGGGGCTTATTGTGTGTTTGCTAAATGGCACACTGTTTATTTAAGTACTTAAGGTGGGGATGGAGTAATGCATCTCAACTATATTCTATTTTGGAAAAAGTTAAATTGCACATATACATTTGTAAGTGCATAAGAACGTGCAAATTACATACATGCCCTCTCTGTAAAAAAACTGAAAGTTTCATCTTAAAAAAAAAAGGTGAATTTAAAAAGCAGGTAACTTTGGAAGAATCTAGAAATGTGAGCGTCAGGAGGTTAAAAATATAAGCATTCCAAACATACAATAATCCTGGAAATATCAGGGGTTTCATTTCAAGACATTAATTTTCACATATCTCATGCAAATGAGTCTTGAGACTATTTAACAGTATGCACACTGATTATTAAAACCACACAACTTTCTTAGAAATGAACATGAAAAATGAATTTAATGATAAAAGCCAGAATACTTGTAGACTATTTTAAATAAAGCTTATTCAACATTATTATGGGACATGTCAATTGTCCCTAAATTAAAGCACCTAGATCCAAGAAAAGAATTTATACTATTGAAAAACAATGATGAAAAATAAGTTTTAAAATGCTTAGATCTAGGATCAATATTTAAAACAACACAAAAATTACATTTTTCTCCTAAGAATTTAAAGACAAAAGTCTTTTAAACTACCAAGATATCCAAATACACCTTGCTTAATATTTAAAGTTAAATGAAAAACAGCTTTACTAAACCATGGAATGTGAAGAAGCTTGATAATTTGCTATAACTAGTGATCAGTGCCACATTTAGATTAATATATGGATTATGCTATAATCCGGGAGCTCTGGTGGTATAGTACCTAAGGCATATGACTGCCTACCAGAAGGCTGGTGGTTCAAATTCACCAGCCACTCCTCAGTGTTCTTTGTTTGGCTGGAAACCACAGGTGTGGGTTCAATCCCAGACCTGAAGGGCAGCTAG